GCTCTGGGTAAAGGTGTACAGATAGGAGATGAAGTAGTGGGCATATTAGCATATACGGACGATGTGGTACTACAGTGTTAGATGTGTGGTGTCTCCAATATAAGATGTCTATCGATCATGATAAATCACAAGTTGTGCACTTTAGAGGTCCCTCGGACCAAGGTTCAACGACAGTGTTTATTAGTGGTGGGGCGAGACTGGACTTGTGTGACAGTTACCACTACCTTGGTGTTCTAATGACTGAACACCTCGACTATAACCGTATGGCAAAGAGTGCAATAAAGGCGGGAAACGGACCCCTGGGACTCCATATTTCCAAGTTCAAAACCATGGGAGGTACTTCCTTCAACGTTTACACCAAGCTCTACGATACCGTGGTGTGGTCAATGTTGAACTACGGAGCGTCTATCTGGGAAACCACAGAACACTCTGCCGTAAATCCCCTCCATCACAGCGATTCGTTTTTTCCTTGGTGTTGGGAAGTATGCACCGAATATGGCAGTAAATGGAGAAACTGGATGAGAACCACCTATAGTGAGGCAGTGGGTAGCAGTGACCAGATACTGGGCTAGACTGGTCAACTTGACACCGAGAAGGCTTGACAGGAGAATCTTTGAGTGGACTGAAAATTGCAAGAAGAAGACGTGGAATTCCAGAATAACCTCACATTAACGGAAGTTTGATTTGGACAGTTTGTGTGACACAGACTCACACATAGAAGGGAAAATGTTTGATCGGCTTGTACGTGAAGCAGTCTCCATACAGTATAAAATCTCATGGACAACCCAACTTATGCGAGACAACTCTAAACGAGGAAACGGCCGAAATAAGTCAAGGACCTATAAACTATATAAGCTAAAGTACTCTGAAGATACGTATCTAGGGCTTCCGCTGAGATGTGACCACCGAAGTGCCTATGCCAAATTCCGATGTAGGATAGCACCGCTACATGTAGAGACTGGCCGCTACGGTAACACCTCAATCTAAGACCGTTGCTGCTTCAACTGTGACAACAGTGTCGACGACGAAAAACATGTTCTTCTATTTTGCCCTTTATACGAGGACATCAGACCTACACTTTTTAACTATTGTAGAAACAACTATACAGCATATAAGGATTTTACCAGCAAAACAATGCATGAGACAACAAATCACGTGCAAGGCTGGCATAGACTATTGCAGAAAGCGACCCAGACATTTTCAAGATATTTGACTTCTTAAAAAAAGAACAATTTGTGACAGGAAACATGAATGTGCATACGTATGGTGACACTGTTTCCGATTTAAATGGCTAATGAATTATGTATGGATTTGCATGTATTATTGTAGATTACATATGAGCTGATAAATAAACTGATAAACCTCATCACGGGTGAATGTCCATATTCTGGTGATCTACCAGAAGATGGGCTGGACATCACCATTTATATACAAAATATTGAATTCGTCGGTTCTGGCGCAGGTTACATGCTGCAGATCAATCCCCATTGCGGAGTACTGTTAGCAGAAGGTCAGTAAAATTCCGTAGATCTGGAATAATACTACTTTATTACCAGTTTATGATCTAAATGATATTACTACTGAAGAGCTTAACTTGTCTAAAATATGTCTGTTATCCTTAGACTATTCTGATTGGTTACATGGGCTTTGGAACGATACGGGTCAGGTAAATGGTAATAGGTTACGCACATACATACTGTTGAAAGAGTCTTTATCAGTAGAACCCGATGTCAGATTATTGATAAACAGAAGTCAGCGTAGTATATTAAGTAAGTTTCGTTGCGGCTCACTGCCATTAGAAATAGAATTAGGGAGTTTTACCTGCCTCAAAACACCGCTTATCAAACGAATCTGTAATTTTTGTAATTGCGATGCTGTTGCAGATGAAATACACTTGTTTTGCTGAGTGTTCTCTCTATACAGATTTATGCCATGATTTATGAAACTTAGCTGCCCAATCAACTCCGAACTTTATACCCATAACCGCTGTCAATAAGACTGTGTTCTGTTATGTTTGTTTGACCCCTAACCGCGCTACTATATCACATGTATAAGCAAAGACAACTGTGTCTTTCGTCTCTACCAACCTAGTTCAGTGTACATTTTGTTTCTTCTCAGTATCAGGATGTTCTCCCCTTAGCCATAGATCTTGTAATTGTGGTAACTTCCATTTTATGTATATGTATGAACTGTGATATTCTCCATTTGTATTTACATGTATGTGGCGCCCTGTGTGTCTCATAAGCCATATCGGCCGGACACTATACATACTATTGTGTGTATTTTTATCGTCATTGTTTTAGGGGCGGTGGGGTAGCCTAGTGGTTAAAGCGTTGGCTCGTCACGCCGAAGACCCGGGTTCGATTCCCAACATGGGCACATTGTGTTAAGCCCATTTCTGGTGTCCCCCGCCGTGATATTGCTGGAATATTGCTAAAAGCGGCGTAAAACCAAACTCAGTCAGTCAGTCAGTCGTCATTGTTTTACAGTGTTTGACACGAAAATAAAATATTTTTCTTCTTCTTCTTTTTCTTCTTCTTGCTTCTTCTTCTTCTTCCTTCAGTTGTTAAAGGACATATTGCCCGTGTCATATATTGCATTGTTTTCTTTGATTTAAATGCTTTACTTTTACATATTAGTTTTATGTTCATATCTTTGATACTCTAGTGTTTCCACTGTCCATCGTCGACAGGTTTTACTCTCCAAAATGTTTTTATCTTTATTGTATAAATTGTTTTCGTCACGATATGGCTGAGATATTGCCGATGTCACGTTAAATATGAACTCACTGATTCATTATTCCGTTTCAGTAATGAGGCAGACAAAGGACAGTCACATCTGTGACCTCATGCAGAATGTGGACAATGCAGCACATCTCCTTGGTGACTAGGAATACATCTTGAAATGTGAAAAAAGATGAATGTTTCACTCATGTCACACAGTATGTTATATGCATCTAAAAAATTATTAATGAGGTAAAAGTTTACGTCACTTTCGGCAATTGTTCGGACATATAGTGGCGAGAAACATTTGGTTTTGTAAAACAATGAATTATGTAACTTCTTTGAGTGGCATTTTAGAAGTTGGGAAGTACAATATAGAACAAACATTATGCTTGACAACGGTACAAGAATCTGTATCGAAACGTCGCACTCACGAATAAAAAGAAGTTGTTACCCATAAAGTTTGTTCTATAATGAATTATGTATTAAATTTTGTATCTTGTATTTCTTTGACATGCATCCAGCCAACAATATTTGTTCATCTATCCGTATATACATTCAAACATATTTTAAATCTATTTATCCTAAAGATGAAATGGGTACATTTATTAATGCAACTCGGAACAAATGTATGGACTCTACCATACCCAGATGACCGAGTAATCATCCAGGCATATAGTTCCTGAAGGAATATTTGTTGATACTATCACGATATACCGGTGCGTAAAAATTTACGAAACTTTATTCAACAGCCAACAGTATTGCGCAAACCTCCGCTACCTTGACTCTGTTGTTATAAGGACATCGGACCCGTATACGCAGAGGCCAATTTTATTAACTTAAAGAGAGATGTTGTACTATACAAGCAAGGTTATTACGAACATCTCAACTAGCTTTTAATTTCCATAGAACATGTTCAAGAACTCCATGTCGACAACCGAAGCTTCTGACTCTCTTAGCATTTAGACATTGCAAAATGAATACATGCGCTCCAAACGACTAATGATAAGGCCAGGGGATAAGCCATGGTTTAGAAGCGACATTAGGCGAGCAATCCGTATGAGAGAAAGATTAAGGCAAAAGGGCAAGATAATCCCAAAATACAAGCGACTCAATGAGGTACAGAAAGGTACTTGTTGAGGCAAAAGTGATTTATTTCCATTAACGTTAAAGTGAAAAAGTATCTAAAAGAGATTTTCCAACTCAAATTCACATCAAACCTTGCCTAACCCTAACCCTAACCAAAAGCGAAACACGGTCCAAACAAAACCAAAATCCCAAAACGTATTAATAAGATTGTCTCTTTGATTCTTGATAGCTTCTCTTTTGCTTGACAATGTTGCTACAAATGTTCAAATGTTAATGTTTTCTCCTTTCTGAGTTGTCCGTTGTTGGTGATGTTATACTACATGTACTACGATGTCCAAATATTCATAGACAAAGAAAACATTTGAATAATGCATTCACTAGCCCTTCAATTTAGTAAAGTCACATTAAAATCCAGTCTGCAATTATATAGAAAGGGAATCCAATAAACATCAACAACCAATAATCTATACGTTAATGACAATGACTTCATTTCAATAATTCATTCACATAGTTCCATAGTAGGCTACTCCTGTTTTGTTACAATGTTGCTTGAAAATCCAAGACATTATTTCAGTTTTTCAGTGAACGCTACGATGGTGTCGTGTTCAATTCCTTGTGGGAAGGGGACAGTTTGGTAGCCTATTGGTTAAAGTGTTAGATCGTCACACCAAAGATCTGATTCGATTCCCAACATGGACACAGTGTGATACAGACGTTTACAGAGATATAGATGGAATATTCCTAAAATCAGTGTAAAAACTATACTCAATCACTCCTCGTGGACAGAAACACTTCCGTGCTGTCAACGTGCTGTATCTTCCAACAATGGGCGACGACATGGGTTATTTACCAATGGCAGCCATTGACTACAATCAGTATTTGGTCATCAGATCGCTGAGAATATTGTTCACACCTCCATTGCCATTTCTGGAAAAAGGAAGTTGTTCCTGGGGCTGGACAAGATTGGTTATTCTTCACACTGATGTTCTGTATTTGATAAGCAAAGCCGCATTTTACGAAGAGAGTGTGCGATGGCGAGCCCCACCTCCTCACATTTATTATTACTTTGAGAGTTTTCGATCAGAAAAAGCAAGACTGCACAGTACGGTCGACTGCCCCTGAGTACACCCTATTTCTTGCATGCATTTTTAGGACAGACAGACAGACAGACAGACAGACAGACAGACAGACAGACAGATATAGTTTATTAAGGTGTCACGTGAACGATTACATGAAATAAAATACACAATATATATAATAAAATATCGTTCACCCAGCCAATAAGGCTTATGGGACACCATACACAATTTAATAACTATGTATATTTCGTTTTAGAGTAAAATACAAGAGGTAGTTTAAATGAGTAGCATTTTTACAGGAATAGGAGTCGTCTTCTAAGCATGTTATTCACAGTGGTTGATAAAATTAGCGGGTCTGACGACATTAAAATACTTAATAAATACACATTGTTATCATGCTTAAAATCTCCATTTATAAGATGATATCTAAGATCCTGATAAAAATAACAGTGCAAAAGGAAATGTATCTCGTCTTCCACACAATTACAGAAAGGACAAATTCTCTCACACAGAGGGGGGGGGGGTTTGCTGTAACGACCTGTTTCTATACGTAATTTTAGATTACCGCAGCGTAGTTTGGTCAGGTTACTTCTCTTAGCTCTGTTGATAATTTGTAGGTATAACTCAGGATGTCTATCTTTCTTGAATAATCTGTACGTTCGAAGCTTATTTCCATTTACTTTGTTCTTGTCGTTCCACATTTCCGTAAACCATATTTCCTCATCTAGTTTCATTAAAACACTTTTCACTGATAAAATAGTCATCTTCACAGGGTCTAGAGATGTTAAAATGGAGTCCAACTTCAGTTTTTTTCCCGAGATGCTGTGCTGTGTAAGCAAAGGATCCTCTTTTCTTTATAGACCAGTGGAAAAGTATGTTAGGTAATCTGTTGGTTATCTGTTTGGCTGATTTGATATAAAAACGGAACGCTTCAATCCTCTGCTTTGTAAGACAAGTTGCCCAGCCCATTTCACAGTGGATAGCTATAGTGGATGTATTACGCGGCACTCCAAGGAGAAAACGACAGGCTCTATTCTGTATACTGCTGATTTCACGGTGTCCGTACATCCCCCAGATAGGCGCACAGTATAACAGTATAGGTTGTACAGTAGATTCGTACAGTTTTCTGTAGACATCATAAGCCATGTCACCACACTGTTTATACTTTGTAATCAGGAGAGATAGCGCTCTACTTGCACTCTTTGCAATTTCCTTCACTGCATATTTCAAACTCAAATGTTCCTGGAACCATAGTCCTAGATATTTGTAAGTATCAACGTAGTCAAGGCTCATATTACAACCGTTAAACTGAAACTTTGAACGAGAAATCCCATCTTTCCTGAAATGCACAATCTTAGATTTGTTGATATTCATTGACAGTCTCCACTTGTAACACCAACTTGTAACAATGTTCAACGTTCTCTGAAGCTTTTCTTCTGTTGGGGCGATTAAAACAATATCATCAGCATATAGTAAAATTGACACAAACATATCATCAACTGGTACACCATCATTAAGCTCGTCGATCTCTTGAGCCAGGTCATTTTTGTAGAGAGAAAACAGAGTTGGCGACATCATGCAACCTCGCTTCACACCTGTGTTTACTGTAAAAAAAGGAGTAAGGTGTTTATTAACTCTAACAGTACTGGTAGTGTTCCTATACAGCGACTGTATGGAGGCAAATATCTTCCCACCAATTCCAGCTTTCCGTAGCTTCAACAAGAAGCAGTTCCTGTCAACGTTGTCGAAAGCTTTCTTTAAATCAATAAAACACGTAAAACTTCCACACTTAGAATCGAGCCGCGACTTCAATATGGTATACAGAGAGTATATGTTGTCGAAACAGCTTCTTTCCTTCCTAAAACCATTCTGAGCATCTGATACTGAGCAAGTTACTTGAATCTAGCCATTTTGATATGCGTTGGTTTAAGATTTCACAGTATATTTTACATGGCACGGAAATGAGAGATATTCCACGGTATGACAAAGGTTGACGGAGATCTGTATCACTCTTGACAATCGGGTTGATAATCGACTGAGTCCAGCTTGTGGGCGCTGTTAGGTCCTAATTTACGCGAATGAGGCTTTACATACAAAAGCTGTTAAGTAGATCAAAAGCTATTGAGTAGACATTAAACTCCCGAATGAAGGCCCCCGGCAGTTTCAATTTCTCTGTAGCCAAGTATATTAATTGTGTGATGTGTGTCTTAAGTATGTGTATGAAAACATCATCAAGCACGAGCTTCCATAATCGGTTGCTTTATCTTGATGTTTTGGACACTGCAGGGGATTTTGAGAAAACAGATGTTCAATCGAAATTGATCAATATTAAACCCCCTATTATTATTTCTCAAATTGAATTTCATTAACGTCGTGATAATGTTGCAAGGAAAACGCTATTATACTAATAAACCTGTATACATGTAGTTGTTGCCACATGATGCTATCATAATCAAACTATACATGATTGGTATTGCGATATCAAATTATTTGAATTCTGTTCTAAACAAGACACGAGTGACTCTTCAACAAATATTGTAGATCTATTGTATTCAGTCCATGATTTTATTTTTGCTTGAGAAGGGTTTGCCAAATTCTAAAAGCTTCCAAATTACATCAAAGCTGATTGATCTCCTACCATGAAGCAAATGCTATCGTCTCGTGTTTTGTTGCGTATGTATGGGGTATTCAGATAAGGCAAACATGCTGGTACACCAATCCGTCTTCTCTTCGTGAATAAAATATACGTAAACAACATCAGGAGCATGTATGACAGGTTTGAACTATGTTCACGGACACACGGGTCCTATGTCAAGTCAAATACACTCCAACGTAATGCCAGTCTCGGTCATGTGTCAGTGGGTTCATCCCCGAGACTTTGACCATCAGCTGATCACCAGCATCCAGCTGTACCAAGCCATGGATATCACTGGAGTACTCAAGACTTGCTCCATCAATGATGTTGTTCTTGTTCTCGCTGATGACATCCCTCAATACTGTTTCTTCCTCCTGCTTCAGTGCACTGTACCGTGCTATATTGTGATGAAAGTCAGACTCAGAATCACCTTGACGATTCCTTTCTGTGTAAAACTTGACATGGCTATATACGACGTACACTCCAGTGGCGGGTACTATGATGCTCCCATTCTCATATTTCATTCCATTGTACAGCAGTTGTCTTCCTGGTCCTATGAATGGTACCCAGTTCCTAATCGGAGTGTCTTCAGATGTGTCTGCTGAAATGTTGCATCAAATGAAAGTGTCAGTGAACCCTCAAGGTGAACTTGGACTTGAAGTGGTAAGTGTTGCTTTGTCAACTTAACCTTTGTCTTAGTTTGCTAGATTTAAAGCGAAACATCAAACAGCGGATACATAAACTAAGTGGAGTATTTTTGTGGTCTTACAAATAAGAATATATGATTGAGGAACAGTGATATTGTATGACTTTCTGACAAGTTTCTTTCCTAAATATATTTTAAACAACTGATACTACGAAACATTCAATAACGCAATCGACTTGTATAAGCTTTTCCTAGAGTACCACTTTGAACCTGACGGCGATTCACTCATGAATATTATACAATGCATAACCGTTTATTTAGCTCAAATAGGAAACAACAAGTTAATGCTGTTAGCAAATATATTCATGCATACCTTCTTTGTAGCCAGTCAAGTCAAGTCCAGGGAAATATGCTATGGGTTTCAATAGATTCAGAAGATCTGCCGGTGTTCTGGGTTGTGTCTTGTCTGCAACAAGTTGAAATAACTATGCATACCTAATCAAGAATTAATCAAAGCGGACAAGGATTCGAACCCAGATAATAGGTTCCTAGCACGGCCAATGGCCGGAAGGGCCCTAAACCAACGAGTTAGACTTCCTATATCTACGAATGTTCCATACTGCACCATGTATAGTTTGAGGAGAGAAAAATATTGTATCTCCAACAGTGAATAGTCTAACACAATCCACTATCTTACAAAGTTCTTTTAACCATTAAAGTTGATTAATTTGGAGATACACAACAATTGCTCACATATGTTTCTACATCTCGTCGGTGAAATTATCAATCTGGCTTTTTATTTCATTTTTATCATTTCCGATCGATCTCTTTCGAGCATGTTCCAATCCGTACACGAAGAAAAAGAAAATTGTGGCTACATTGAAATGATGTATGCAATTTTCTTTCTTTGGCAGTCGTTTATGGGCGCCTACAGAATTATACTCACTTGTTCCTGCATTGGTGAACGTGGCCTGGAATTTCTTCAAGTGTTCAGTGTAGATCTACAGAAGAGAATACATAAACATAATACGTCTGACAAGGCATTTTATTGATACATGCTCAACCAAAGAATAACGTTTAAATCGTTACTTCTGGTCTTGACCGAACAATTTGCTTGGGTGTTTCGGACCAGCTATTTATTGATGCATTGCCAAATGAAGTTTAACAAATTTAAATATGCTTCTCAAGATTGAGTGATTCCGTTTGAGGTACGGAGGAGTATACTTGGTATTGGCGTAATGCTTAGTACAGTGACCTATGAATGGGAGACACTTTCTCTTTCGAAACAGACGCATCGTGGCATTTGATGAACATAAACCAAACGTTTCTGTTATATCGCGCCCCATCTTAATATTTGAAGAAAACACAATATAAAGCAGTGAATGGTTATTGGTGAATGGCCATGCTCTCAGAAACATTTCTCAACGTTGAAGAGAAAATCTAAATCAGAGGAAACCTGCATTATAAAGACACGTGACCATACTCCGCAAATATGGCAGCAGTTTATAATCAATAATTCAATTCTTACCCGACTGAATTGTTGCTTGAGTATTTCTGAAGTTTTCCTGTGTTCATGGTGCTCTCTTGACAGGACAAGACAGATAACCCCGATCCCAACAGCTATGTTCAGCAGGAGCACAGTTGCTGCTACACATTTGGCTGGTATTTCCATGATGGATGATGTAGGACAAGGATGAAGCAAACACGGAGAAACTGATGGCAGCAGCGACCTTGTGCGAATGTGAGTTAGAGACAGAGATATTATTATCCCTCTGTGTACAGTTTTTTTAATTTTATTGTTTTATCCCCCAGTGTACAGTTTAGTGTATATTTCATTTTTACTAGCACCTCTTCGACAAATACTGCACTTTTATTTCAATGGGTTAGAGACCGAATCAATATCATTTTAAGCATCCAAGTGTACAATTTATATAATCGTATTTTTTACTAGCCCCTCTTCAATCAAATTCCGTACTTGTATTGCGATGTGTGAGAGATTGAGTTATTTTTTTATTCGTCATCGCATAGTTATATTATTATCAAATGGTATTATTTACAAACACCTCTTCAAATAATTCTATTCTATTATTTCGATGTGTGAGAGATGGAGGTTTTATGCCTATTTTACATGTTTTGGATAAATGTTATTTACTAGCATCTCTTCAACACATACCGTAGTTTTATTATAATGTGTTTAACAACGACGGACTCTAGTAGAGAACAGTGTTAGAGTTAATATGGCTTTATGCCTCAGCCAGCAAATCACTTATATCCCCAACGTATTGGACCATATACCTGTGATATAAATATAACTTCCATTCCTTCATATCACTCTACAGGTTTGAAATGCTTTAAATATAGGATACGTTTGTCATTGTGGAGGAAGAACACGAGGAAAATCACACATTCAGCTGGACTAATAAACCATGGATCTTTATGTGCAAATATATTCGTTGACTCGGAAACGACCGGTAACCATTTTGAACATGGCTGGTGCATTCCCATTGAAAAACTGTGTATAATTTCCAGGGGAAGTCCTAAGTATCTGCGAAGTTTGCGGAAGTTTGTATGTGTATTGCGATCACAAATCTCGGGATTGGATTGTTAGAAATAAATAAACACACGTGATAGCCGTTTGTTTCTGTACTGCACACACAAAGATATTTTTACGATTGTGTAATTCAAGTCTCTTGGAAAGTGAAAACAGGTTTATGTGGGAAAGTCCCTTGTTCACTCATGGCCTCAAGTCCTCACAGAGTTACCTCCCTTACACCACTTCAACTGACCGCGCAATGTTTATTCTTGTGGGATGAAATGTGTTGGTATTGTTGTAAGTGATACACTTGAAAGGTAAGATGTTTAACATTCAAACCTTTTAATTTACAGTTAATAAGACTAATTTTATAAATGAAGATTATATCCACATAGCCAGTCTGAAGCCAGAAAGTCAAACACGAAATCGGGGTTTAAGTATACTCACGTGAGACACACAGTAGTCGGTAATATGTGACTTTTGTTACAACAGTAAGATGTTCAGAGTGAACACACAGTCAGGAATGGTCACACACCAGGAAGGATACTGGGCAGTACCAGAGAGAATGTGAAAGTAGGAAAACAGCGGTTGGCTTAACGGGGATTATGCGGATTATGTGAAACAGAAAATGTGATTGAAGGGGGAATTTTGACTTTCCTAAAATAAATGTGACACATCACAATAAGTAATATGATGTGAATACTGCCACACATTTGCAGGAAGTAACCGTCATTGTTTGAACCGGCTGCAGCTGTAAGTCAGTTTGGGATAGGTGTTGCTTTGGATATGTTGCGCCTTGTTCGCTGTATATCACTATACGGAAATGTGTTGCTTAAATGCAACACTGTCTATTGCATTGTTTCGATTGATAGACAATTTAATACGTGTGGGACGGTTCATTTCTGAAAATGTTTATATGATAAGGACCAATATAACATCGATGGCTTTGCACATTTACAAAAGATGACATTTTATTTGGTTGACTGTTTTCTGCACAAATTGTATGTTCAGTGCTGACAATAGTTAGTGCGGATTTTTGGAGACGAATGCATATGTCCAAGTAGAAATATTTGCATTCGTTCATATAGTTAATTCAGAGTGGCTAAGTTGGGTGAAACGTTGTCTCATCAATATATAGCCTTGGTTTGCTTCCCCACAAACGTACAACTTGTGATGTTTGTTTCCCCTCTATTGGAATATTGGTAAAAGCTTCCACTTAAAGCCTCTCAAACTCACTCCCACACCCGACTCACACCTCCACTATCAATCCACTCACCCGGTCACCCAGCCACTTTAACCTTATTTTTAGCACACTTTTAATACATTTGGCAGTGTATTTGCAATATGTTTTAAGATTGAGTGAGTGAGTTTATTTTTACGCTGCAATCAGCAATATTCAAGCCATATGGCGGCTGTCTGTAAATAAATGGATCCGGTCCACACAATCCAGTTATCAACAGCCCGAGCATCGATCTACGCAATTGGGATACGATGTCATGTGTCAATGAGCCTGACCACCCGATCGATCCCGTTCGTCGCCTCTTACGCCAAGCATGGGTTACTGAAGATCAATTCTAACCCGGATCTTCAAGGGTATACGTTTTAAGAACGGCTGAATGTTTTGAGATGGTGTGATTAGCGGGGCTACACTTGGCGAGACACAGAAGGTATGTTCACATTTTTTCGAGTCGATTTGGTATGTGTGTTGGAAATGCTACATTAACATGATATTAATAATATAACTGCTCTTTTATCAGAATTTGTACCCACTCAAAAGTTTTAGCATGGGTGCAAATCAAAACCAAAATGCTTATGAATTAACTACTTTAATTTTTCTTTTGGTGTTGAGCTGTATTCAAAAATTCTCTTTTTAAGTTATGATGTGCACCAGCAATATGTTGTTCTTATTACAATATAAATATGGAAGACACGTGATACAAAAATAATTATCCAGATCATTGATGTATGTTTTTATTAATTTGTAAAAGCATATGAACCTAAAATTGTTTAAAAGATTTGCAGAGCAACCTTCTCTTCAGAAGTTTAATACTTTTATATCAACAACAAACCTGAAACACTAAGACGTGTGTCTTCCATGCAAACTCTTTGAGAGATGATTCATAGGTATTGTTCTAGATCCCAATAGATGATGTACTTTGGAGCAAAGTGAAACGATATTTGTACCTATACTCACTAGTGTAAATGTAACCACTTACTTTAGGCAACTGTTCTAAACTAGATTTTGAAAAATATTCCATACTGTTTAACGGTGCTGTTTACACATGAATTAATGTATTGGAAAACAAATTCACAACGGTGAAAAGATTACTGTCATGAGTTCCATAAATTATGAAACTCAGTAAAAATTGGCGAATTCTTAACAAAACTTTATACCAAAACGCAGCAGTTCACATGCATGATATTTGCACATATTTGCACAGTTCATCTGCATAAGGTTTGCAGTTCGTTCCCCAAATTCATCTTCGATGTAACCATTTATATACATAACATATAGTGAGTGCTGTAAGTGAGTCTAAACTTTTGATGGGTAGTATATTAAAAGGTGAAACCACGTTGGTTGAGCGGGTTATAGGCAGCTGACTTTGTTTGCTGGCGATTATGTGGCTGATTCTGAGGGTTTGTGTTCGAATCCCGGATGGGACTCAACCTAACAAAAGTACTAGAATCTGTACTCTACTAAGAAGGTGTAGTCCTAAATATAACGTGTGTTACATATTAAAATATACACTAATATGCTGAATATGGGCCAATGACATCTTGTATAAAGGCTACTATTTACTAGTGGGTGTACCTACATGGGATACCTGTGACGATCCGGGTCAGAATTGGTTTTCAGCAACCCATGCTTGTCGTGGAAGGTTACTACCGGGATCGGGTGGTCAGACTCGCTGACTGGGTTTACTTGCCATCGTATCCCAGTTGTGTCGATCGATGCTCATGATGCTGACCACTGGATTGTCTAGTCCCAACTCGAGAACTCCCAGCACTTTCTTACGTTGAATAAAACCATGTTCCAAGGCGGTATTTGTTACCTGGTCAGAGTATCGGGACCTGACCTGCACATTAGGCATATATTTGTATGTTCAGACGTACAATACACTATGGTGGCTCATTCGGGCCATCGCTTTATCGCCCTGAAAAATCTAGATGATATTGTGACAAAGCAATAGCACGACACGATATTGCGATATGGCAACATGATATAGCGATATTGCAATACAGCCCAAAAACGAAATAGCGATAACACGACACGATATGGCGATAGCAAAACACGACATTGCGATAACTCGACACGACATTGCGATAACTCGACAAGACATTGCGATAACACAACACGAAATGGCGATAACACGACACGAAATGGCGATAACACGACACAAAATGGCGAAACAGCGATATTGCGATATAGCGATACGGCGATAATGCGATATAAACAGGCGACACGGTGATAGTGCGACATGACGATATAGCAATACTGCGAAATTGCGATTATGCGAAATGGTTAAGCGACATGGCGAAACAGCGATACTGCGATATGGCAATAAAGCGATATATTGATCTTTATATGAGTTTGTGTGTATGTGGTATGTACTTATGTGTATTTGTGTGATGCGTCCATGTTGTATTTGAATTAGTATCATATTAGTTTAAGTGAGAAAGCAAAAACGTTCTAGGGATTTCACGTAATGATAATATTCGGTGTATGCAAATGGATTTTATGCAATAGTAATCTTCTATGCATGCCCATCATAAATATGGTGTTATTGTGTAACTCATCGTCTGAATCATCAAAATGCAGCAACAACCGAATAATACAATCAGAACGAAACAAACATGATCCACGAAGCACTAAAAGGTGGAGTGGTTATTAGTATTTAAGATTAGATCTCTTATAGCAACTTCGGCGTCATATCATCACTAAATAAAGCACAATGGAACAACGTCAGCGAATGGAATCACTGTTCCGTCCAAAAGTGTTGAAAATTACACTAAATGTAAAAATGTTTGACTTATTTACCGGTTTTCTTTAAATTGTCATTACTAGCATGTCATTTGGCTGATAATATTCAATTTTAATACATACAACACAAAGTAAAAGTTCGTTATTGTACAAATTTATCATTGTCTTATCTTTAAAACCATCGTATGAGCTACAACCAAATCGAGAAAGTGTTACTCTTACTTTGTAAAAGATAAGTTCTACTTTTTTAAAATAAAGTGTACTATTCAGCTTTTTCTAGAATTGGGTAAACTGCCATGCCGTTTTGAGATGTACATGTCTTTTAAGGCCCATGTTAAACGCCTGATCAACATCTGTAGCGCGTATACGTGTTGTAACTAAATATACACATGGGCGTTGATTAAGCACAACCTGAAACTAAGGGCAATTTTAATTTTTTAGCTCAAACAAGCGATCAGACTAGAATGCACATGTAAAGCACGTGCTTCACCTAATCTATAAAATGCAGTGGGTCGCAGGTTCATGTGCTGCGAACGCGCCTAATACATTGGGGTATATATTTCAAAATTGCAGTATGTGCAGTCTGAACTGATATAAAAGATGACAGTACATGTATCTTTCCAGTAAAATCCTAATGCTCTTGCCTCCTCAAATCAGATAAAGATAAATGAATTCGACCTACTCTTGAAATCAAATACTTTAATCCAATCATGTGTAATATTGTATCCCGGGCTGTTTAGTTGGGCTATCTGTCTCAAACAAAGAAGTTCCTCAGCGGGTCCACAACACTTTATTCGGCGTCAAATATACAATAACATGATGGTACAGCAACGCACAGATAGCATCTCAGAGGGGATCATCAGTCCCCCTGCCTTGCCGTTTTATGAGGGCCCAGTCCCGTTGAAAACCAGAATTCTACATATATTCTCACTTTCAGGCATCTTTGTATCGTATGTACAGTACATGTATGGTCAGTCTGCAGTACCCAGTACCTAATCCACAATATTAAGCTTCATTTGCTGCTGGCCTACACATGGCTTTGCTTTTGACTGCACTGTAAAGATTTAGATATACTACTTTTACTTAACTTAGTGAGTGAGTTTTGTTTTACGCCGCACTCAGCACTATTCCAGCTATATGGTGGCGGTCTGTAAATAATCGAGTCTGGACTAGACAATCCAGTGATCAACAGCATGAGCATCGATCTGCGCAATTCGGAACCGATAACATGTGTCACCCAAGCCAGCGAGCCTGACCACCCGATCCCGTTAGTCGCCTCTTAAGACAAGATTGGTTACTGAAGATCAATTCTATCCCGGACCTTCACGGGTGACTTAACTCAGGAATACACGAACATATCTATACTCCCCTTTAAAACCTACATCCCGCCAAACTGCCAACGATAATCGTCAAAAACTCTGAGATTAATTAATTATACTGTGGACTCTGAATTATCCGACAATCTGTGTATTCCGACATATATTTTTGGGCCCCGGCAGCGTTCTTCTATATTGTCATCATATTAATATTGAATTATCTGACATCTGTACATTCAGAATTCCGATACCATTTTCTGGTAACAATGACACTATCACGCTGTACAATCCGACATCCTCTCCCCATATTAGACTAAAATAGCCAATCAACCTGTCAACGGCTACAATGGAGGACTTTTTGATGAAAGTGTGAATATGATTGTGATTGGATAGTCCGCATCTTATGTACATTGTACTGAAGAGAATAAATACCAATCATACATGTGTATGTAAATACTGACTTTGTTTTTTTCCCTTTATTCACCAAGTAAATAGCTATCAAACAATTTCATGAAGTCAGTTACAATGTATGGTATTGTTTGAAAAGTATTCAAGCAACGAGACAGTGAATTATCCGATACGCTGTATAATCCGACATGTTTCCCCGGTCCCAGTGAGTGTCGGATTATACAGCTTCCACTGTACCTACTGAAATTATTTTGGTGTGTAATGTATTGTTTACTTGTTTATAGAGAGAAGAAGAAAAGTATTCTAGAACTTTTCGTTTACAATGATACTTTCCTTTCTTGATAAGCAACCAATATTCTTAAAGTAGACGTTTCAGAGATCGACTTCCCATAAGATTAGGCAGATCGATCAGGCACCGTAAGAGCCCAAATCTATTCTGATGAACTCTTATAGCCTACAGAATTCTCAGGATCTTGACATGGACAAGCATCACAGTTTGGAATATGTCATCTCTCATTGTGCTCTTGGATGAGCTATTTCAGTAGAATGGACGGTTTTACGAATGCGTTTATCTCACATACTACTTTTTCACATTTTTGTATGCACTTCACTTGGATACACTTTGTATGAAACAATCCGTGGACATAGTTTTGCAATGATATATTATGAGAAATGGCAT